GCCCTGGTCAAATTACTCAACCTCAGTTTGTTCTGGGGCAGGAAAATAGAACATGTGTCTGCCACAGTGAAGGAGGAAACAACAAAAGACAGGTGATACTTTGTTTTTCAGAAAACTGGTTTCCTGTTAAACATTAAAACTTCTCTTTGGCTTGTTTAAGGTACTTGGCAATCAAATAATGCCTGGATCTCTTAATATGAAGATAAAATTTGTATGTGCCCAGTGTTTGCGAAATGGTCAAGTCATCGAGCCAGATAAAAACAGAAAATACTGCAGTGCTAAAGCAAGGCATTCGTAAGTAGTTGTATGAAACCGTACTTGCTTTGTCATTGTTCTTTTCAGAAATATAAAGTCATATGTAGAAGAAAATCATGAAGAGAGTAGAAGAAAGTAGCTGACTAAGCAGTTATTAAAGCAAAAATAAATTTTTTTTTCAGACTTAGTAACTGAGAAGTCTCTCAGCTTTATTCCTCGATGTCATCATTCCTTTATGTAGGATCCATAGAGATTGTTTCTAAATATCAGTAGGGAATGAGAAGTTTCTAGAATGCTAAGGCCTCTCTTTTAGAAAAGTTGAGGGGATAAAAACCCTTCAGGTACAGACCCTGTACCTTCTCCCTGATGTTATGCCTTTTGCCCGTGTGTCTTTGTTTTTCTGAACTCCATTTTTCTTAGGTGGACCAAAGACCGTCGTGCGATGAGAGTGATGTCTATTGAACGTAAGAAGTGGATGAACATCCGTCCTCTCCCCACAAAGAAACAAATGCCTTTACAGTTTGATGTACATACGTAATTTTTAAGCCACTTTTTAAAAAAAAAAAAAAAATTAGGCATTTCAAATCATTAGAAGGTAGTAATACTGCAGAATGAAGTTCAGGTGTTTTCAGTAATGCTCATCAGTACTAATGGCACTGAAATGGTCCCCCTCTCATTTTCCTCTTCCTGGTGTAGCATCTATTTGGTTCTTTGAGAGTTCCCATATTGACAGGGATTTCATATGTGACCTGGGGCAAGTAGCAGGTAAAGAAATCAAGCCAAACTTGCGGGCATAACTGAACTTCTCAGATGATTTTCTTTTGGGAGGGAAATGAGAGAGGATTTCATTTCATTTTGATCCTTCCCTTTGATATCAAACCCAAGGCCTTCCATGCATTTTGAAGGTTGTTGTTAAGTTTATTTTGCTCATACTGTGTTTCTTTCACTGAAGCAATGGATAGTAGCTCAGAGACCCAACTCAGTTGCACTTTCTAAAAGTAAACCAGAGGGATAGCCTTTGATGATAAAGGAATTGTGACCCTCAAAAACCATTAGCAGGAAAATAGCATAGCAAGCTAAAGTTAGGCTAGTCACTCCTGCCATGACATCTGGTCACCCTGCAGGGCCTCGGCGTGGCCCCTTAAGGATGACTGTGGCCAGTCCCATCCAAGCACACCATCTAGCTCTCTGGATGGTTGCTGTTCACAAGAGTCTGAAAGGAGTCTCAAGGTTTGAGAGTTACAGACAGGGATTCCCTAGAGCATTGGCAGGTAGCATACTTTCTGTTATAGAGGAGGATTTACAGAGAGAACCACAGGTTCAGGGAAACAATGTTGATGGCTTGCAGAGTCCCCTCACAAGTGAGCCTCCCTCCCTCCTAATTGCTAGAAGAGCAGGCAAAAGGCAGATGAGTTTCCCATTGCCCACAGTCCCTTGCAGTTCTCTAAAACATGCAAGTTGCAAGATCAGTCTTGACAAGATAATAGAGAGAGAGAGAGAGAGAGAGAGAGAGAGTGTGTGTGTGTGTGTGTGTGTGTGTGTGTGTGTGTGTGTGTGTTCCACAGTGGTTTTAGATTCAGAAATCTAGTTGGTTTAATCAGTGGGTCGTTGACATTGGAGGAGGAAGAGGAGGAGAAATTGGACTATTCATTGGAATCACTGAATGGTTTAAAAGATAATGGAGATAAGAAGAACAACAGGGACTTTGTTAACAGGCTAACTGATAGCCCAGTAGCCTAGCGGATAGCCTGACAGTCGTTAGCCCACTGTAGCTCATCAGGTCTAGGCCTGCTGATGATTCTTTAATCTGGGACAGGGTGTACTGTTGTGCAACATTCCAGTAGGCTTTTGCTTACCATAGTAAGCATTGCTAAGGAGACTTTTTCTGAAAACTAGTGCCCTTTGTGTGTGTGTGTGTGTGTGTGTGTGTGTGTACGTGTACACACATTGTGATGAGGTAGACACATGGGTTTTGGAGTCTGTTAGAAGTGCTGCCCTGGTCAAATTACTCAACCTCAGTTTGTTCTTCATCTATAAATGGGGACTGTTAGGCCCTAGATAGGGTGACAGGCAATGACATTCTCTGAAAATCTAGCTAGTATGCCCAGTCTCCTCTCCTCTCCTTCCCCCCTCTCCTTCCCCCCTTCCCCTCCCCACGTCCGTCTCCCTCTCCCTCTCCTCTCTTCCTTCTTACTGAGCATTAAAATCTATGGCAAAGATCCCCCTAAATTCCCTAGCTGACCAAGTGCTTGGCTGGGGTTCAGTGAGGAGAAAAGCTGAGCAAACGCAGTTACAGGCCTGCTGTGTTGACGTTGAAGATTTCGAGGGCAGAGGCCATTGTCCAGAGAAGAAACAGGGCATTGCTTGGGCTCAGACCCTAACATCAATTTTAATAAAAACTGATGCTAAGCATTTGTTTTAGGTAAGATAAGTAATATGTAGGGCTGTTCCTATTGAAACCCAAATCCACTAAATAAGACAACAGTAGCTATACTTAAATTTATACTATCTATAAAGATAAATATCTTCATGCTACTTGTCTTGATTTCAGAATCAAGCTCTCTTAATGATGGAGGCTGCCTTGGTTCTTGATAGGCATGATGTGTAAGGGAAATTGCAGTCTGCTGATCCCTGCCGCCTTATTTTCCTACCAGTATCACTGTGTTCACTTCATTAAATAGAGAAAAGCAAGAAGAGCTGTTGTTTGAAAGCTATGCAATCTAGTGGCCAGGTTGGTATAATAATTCTTTTCAGAAAAGACACAGCTGGCAAGTTAGGAGAGGAGCCCTGGTGGCACACTGATTAAGCATTTGTTAAATCAAAGGGTTGACCGCTCGATGCCACCAGTTGCTCTGTGTGGAGAAAAGACTGGGCCTTCTGCTCCTGTAGAGAGTAAGGCCTAGGAGAGCCCACGGGGTGGTCCTGCTCTGTGAAGCGGGCCCCTCATGAACTGGGATCAATGCAGAGGCACAGAACGAGTGAGTGATGGCTCAGGTTAGCCGCCATCCTCGGTAATGTAACGTCAGTTAAACTTCCAAGCCTTTTCTGCCGTTGTTTTATAACTTCGAGAGTGGACTGCAATTTCCTTACTGCTTTGCACATGCAGAGGTGCAAGGACCTTGAGTATTGTCAGAAGGAGAGATTCTCATTGCAGAGATTCTGCCACGTGAATACTCGGAATAGACATTAGACGCTCTCTGATGAGAAAATGCTCCTTACCCCAATTCCATCCTTCACTTTCTTTTGAACATTTTCTTTCTTTTGATAAACTTGAAGCTAGAAAGCTTGATTTATATTGCATATATTTATATTGTATATATTTCGGGTATATAGTTCATTTCAATGGAATCAAAATAATTTATTCTAGCATTGTTATTAATTAAGCATTAGCGAGGGTAAAAGTATCTAATTCTACCTAAATATAAAAATGTAGGGGCAGTGAGGTACTTTTACTAAGGATGCTCAGCCTTAAATATTATGCTTTCTCCCCACCCCCTTTTCTTTTTTAAAATACAGTTGTGCAATCATGTTGCTTCTGGGAAAAAATGTCAGTATGTTGGAAACTGTTCATTTGCTCACAGTCCCGAGGAACGAGAAGTGTGGACGTATATGAAAGAGAATGGAAGTGAGTTGATGTCAAACATGGTTCTTACTGGGTCCGTTGCGCTTTTCCTCTGTAAACAGACTACTTTACCATGGGTGCAGACAGTACTATGCTCTCTGTCTCATTGGCAGTTCTGTTCAATGGCAGTGATTACTGGAAATGTGGTGATAGCCGCAGGTAAAATCTAGTTTCTAATTTCCACTTGGTTTCATCTGTTAGGGATGTAAGTATGTAGCCTTGTTATCCTGGGATGTAATAGGTACAGTTCTGGGGAAAGAATTCTTTTGTTACTGTTACAATCAGAATGTCTACTACTTTTTTAGTAACAAACCCAAACCCATTGTAATTGAGTCATTTTTAACTCATGGTGACCCCATTAAACAGAGCAGAACTGCGCCTTCAGTTTTCAAGGCTGCCGATCTTTTCAGAAGTGCACTGTCTCATTTTACTTGGGCAGGGAACAAAGTCTCATTAGCAGATATCTTATCTGGTTTGCAATTTGTGTGGAGACTTTAAAAAAAATAGACATAGTCCCTGTTTTGCTTTGTTATCGTTAGGAACCTGGACTACATACTGGCCTAATATGCTGATGTTATCATTCTCAGATGTTCCCTTAGAGATGCTTATGGCTGGGTTTCACTGTGGGTAACATCACTGCATAGCAAGCAGTAAGGAAAATGAACAAAGAATAATTGACCTCAGAACTGACTTACAATCGAGTAGTCACAGTGGAACCTCATAAAGTGCGAACTCCATGTCATTAATTTTTTTTCTTGTCATTAAGAATGTACATAGCACAACATTTGCCAACAATTTCTATGTGGCAGGTCAGTGACATTGATTACGTTCCTTGGGTTGTGCTACCATTGCAAACCTCTTTCTCAAAATTGGGCTGCACCACTAAGGTAAACTCCCTGCCCTATAAATTTCCCATCTAATTTTTCAAGTTGCACTTGTCAGTATTATCCAATGTGGCTTGTTCTTTAAAGAGTACAGTACTCAAAGCAGACTTTTCTTTACTTGTGAAGCTAAACTTTTATTTGGTTTTAAGAAGTCTCAGAGATACTTTTGACTTAAAGTTTAAAGATGATCTCAATAGTGTGAGCTATTCATCCAGCCTCCATTGATCCAGAAAGCCTCGAGTTTGAGCATTTAAAATTCTGTTCTGCATTTTCTCCCTTTTGACCAGGATTCTAAAAGGATCCTTGATCAAAATGATCAGTAGTGGCAGCCAGGCACCAGCCAGTCCTTCTGGTCTCGTGGCAAAGAAGGCAGTTAGTTATTCATAGGTAGAATTAGTTAGATACTCATAACCTCCTTCTTTCTATACATGATTCTCCTCCTTCCTATGTTGTTTGAGCAGAATTGTGCCAGAAATGTTACACCTTGGATGATGTTAACAAGCTTTTAAGTCACTACACAGTGAGGAGGTAAAACAGAAACACACATTAGTAGACTTGTTAACAGAGATGTCCCGTGAAACCAGGATCCGAAACCTCCAAAGCAGGAGGCATTTGGTTTTACATAAGCAGCCTCCACAACCACCTTTTTTTAGGGAGGGAGTCGGTTTTGGTTTTTGTCATTGTGGTATATGTATCTGCAAAACATCTTTTGCTCTTTCGAGAGGCTTTGTCACGACTTGGGTGAGAGAGTGCTACTGGCATCCAATAGACAGGCCAAGGATACAGTTTCTGTGCACAGATCCTCCCCCCACAGCAAAGAATTATCTAGCCTGAAATATCAGCATGTGCTGATGTTGAGAAACCCTGGTGTTAGTACTTGGTGAAGTTGCAGAATACAGACAGTGCCCAGATTATGAGAACGTTCTATTCCTAAGTCTGCCTTTATGTCAGATTTATCCGTTACGTCGGAACTGTTAGGTACAGTTCATATCTACCATCAGTCAGCTATTAGTGGTTTAACTCTATGCCTCTTAAAGAAACACGTCCAGATACTGTAAGATATCTTTAACATATTGTAATGTTTGGATGCACATTGCAAAGCGTAGCACCCGTTATTTATTATTTATTATTACAGACCATTGTATTTTTTTATAATAGGCTTCATGAGGGTTGGTGCACAACGACAGGTTGTCTTTCAGTCAGTGATGGTAACTCAGGGACTGCCCATACACCTGTCCTCACCATAGGAAGCAGTTTGACAGCCACTGCCCAGAACCTGGTCACAGATGTGTGGTTGTAAATCACACCCCATCGCGTGGTCCTCTAGAGGACTGGCTTGATTGATGGACTCCATCAGGGTCAAACTCTTGGTCCCAGTCGCATGTTTCTTTCATCTTTCTGAATAAACAGGAGCATGTCTGCCTCAAGCGCCTCCATGTGAGCACTCCTGTGTGGCTCAAGTGTCTGTTGTGCAGCAACAGGAAGCTGTGACAGGGGCACTGCCTTATCATTTTGCCTGTGTTTTCAGCACCCTCAAAGTGTGATAAGAATGCAAGGAGGAAAGAGTTTCATTAATCTGCTAGGCGAATATCTGCAGTCTTAACAGTCCTGATTCAGTTTTTGGGTTTTTTTTAAAAAATTAATTTTAATGAAAGTTTACAGAGACTTAGGGTTTCCATTCATTCATTGCTGATTCAGTTTTTAAGCGTATTTATCTGCTACCTGAATCAGACCATCTCTTCATCTGATAATCAGTTTATGTTGAGCCTCTCTCCTGTTTTCTTAGAAAAGCTATGCTGATTAAGAAAAAAGAAACAAAAAACCCTGCACACCCATGTTTATTGCTGCATTGTTTACATAGCAAACAGTTGGAAACAGTCCAAGTGCCCATCAACAAATGAATGGATAGAGAAGCTGTGGTATAGTCACACAATGGAATACTATGCAGCACTGAAAAACAAAGAACTCATGAACTATTAAACAATATGGGTGACCATGGAGGACATTATGCTGAGTGTCAAAAAGACAAATAATGCATAATGCCACTGTTACAACAGGACTGATATGAGGGTTGGGGGGAAACAAAAGAGGGGTAAGTGATGTATACGGCATTGAAACAGACGAAGGGAGAACAATATAAAAGGAACATATAATTAAGTATTCTTGGCATGACAAGAGTCCAGAATAAGAGCTTCAGAGTAAAGTGGTGGGGGCAGGGGACGGACTGTATAACAATGAAAATCTTTTTTCCCCAAGGAAAAAGCGAACGGGGGTGAGGGGGACAGGAGGAAAATGTGCAACAATGAATGAATGGAAATCCAAGTTCTTTATAAACTTTCATTAAAATTAAAAAAAAAAAAAAAGAGTTAAATGGAGAAGAAATTGAGAAAAAAAACAAAAGAAAACCCCAAAACACCAAGTATGCATGATATGGTCTTGCGTGTTTAAAGGATGTTTAGTTGTTCCTGTTTAAAGCAATTCTTTTTTCTTTAGTACAAGATATGGAACAATTTTATGAACTCTGGCTAAAGAGTCAAAAAAATGAAAAAAGTGATGATCTAGCCAGCCAGTCAAACAAGGAGAATGGAAAACAGATCCACATGCCAACAGATTATGCTGAAGTGACTGTAAGTACGTTTGTTAGTTTTGGGCGGTGAATGAAACCTTTATTTTCCTTCATCTCCCAAAGCTAGCTCCAGCACTTCCCCTTCCTGCTCGCCCCTCTCGCTGGTATTTCCTTCTACCTTCTCTCTCTGGTGTTTGCCTCCAGTTCACTAAGTGATCTTCATTCTGAAAACCCCTTGGTTCTTGTCTTAGCTCCCTAGTGCCCTTATGACACAGATACCTTACATGAATGACTTTAAGGAACAGAAATGTATTTTATCATAGTCCTGAAAGCTAAAATTCCAGACTGTGGTCTCCCTCAGCTTCATCCTGTTTCTTCCTTGACAGCAGCTCTGGGCCTCCTTTGGCTGTTTGCCTTGTAGATAATCTTCACGTGTCCTCCATCTCTTGTCCCTGTATGTGTGTGCACACAGTCTGCTCCTTCTGTTATCCAGAAGGGATTTTTATTTGCCTTTAGAACCCATCCTCTTTCGGTGTCATCTAATTACCATAACCAAACCATATTTCCAGCCAGGATCCCATCCACAGTTCCCAGTTAGAATCCAGTGTATATTTTGAGGGGACCCATTTCAGTCCACTCACAATCCTATTTCTGACTTTGGGGCCAGAGAGTCCAAGTTCACATTCCTCTCTACCAGCCTGTGATCCTGGGGTTTCTCCTAGAGTTGCTGTGATGGTGAGCATCCACACTGTCCCAGTGTCCAGCCAGCCCTGGAACGTGGGCCATTTCCTCACCACCTCTGTAGCTCCCAGTTACTCATTTCCTCCCTCATTGCCTGCGGCCTGGCATCTGCCTCCACCAGACTTTTCGTGTTGTTTATGTGCTATTGAGAGTTGGAACCAACTCAACCGACTCTCCAGTAGATTTTCATAGTTTAATTGTAGAAGAGGAGATTGCCCATCTTTCTCTTGTTGAGCAACTGATGGGTTCGAACCGCATACCTTTGGAATGGCAGCTCAGCTCCTTACCACTAGGCCATCATTTCTTAGAGCTATTCAATCACCTATAGTCTTTCATGGTTTTGCTTTTCTCTGTTAAAAACTTTTTAAAAATATAGACAGGGTAATATAATGAATATCTGAAGCTTTCTGTCCCAAGGTAACTTTGCTTCTGGAAAGTAAACAGAATGTGACAGATAAAGTTGAAGTTCCATTTGTTCCGGTTCTCAGGGACAGTTGGATCCCCAGTGTATTTTTCCAGGCTGTGTGTACACAGCTTACGATGTATTTATTCTTGAACCGTCATCTATAGTTTGGCTTGCTTTAAAGTTTATGTAAAGTGTGAGCATTTGTCTGCTCCTTGGATGTTGCTGCCCTTCTCTCTCTCTGTTAATTGGTGCAGACCCACGTCCATGGCCCATTAGCAAGGCCATTGTGATATGCCTTGCATCCCCTGTGAACTCTGCCTCTCTTCTCTGTCAAGGTTCAGGACCAGTGCACCTGCCACCTACCCGTATTTGTGCCCCCAGAGCAGTGTTACCTAGACTTGCTGGACCGTGAGAGTTACCTGGGGTGTTTATTAAATAGAGCCTCTTAGGCTGCACCAATGGTTTCTAGTCTGTTGAGTCCAACTCCCATGGAGCATCTCCAGGAATCTGTGTTAACCAGTGTCCCAGGCGATTAACGAGCAGGCATTGGGAGCTCACACCTTGTTCTAGCACTCCCCTTCCACCATTGCAGAGATTCTCCTGTGAAGGTGTGTCCCCAGGGACAGCACCTGAGTACCCCCTCTAACCTCTAGGTGCTGGACACAGGCCCCAGCCCATGACAGGGCCTCAGTCAGTGCGTGTGGAATGGAGCAGCTGCTAATCCCTCTAGAGTCCGTGAATCCTGATCTCTGGCAGCCCATGTGCATCTCGCGGTGTTGATTCTCCCCCAGCGTCCTTGTTTGAATCTGGTCTCCTATCCTCTTGACAAACATCCTTGTTTGCACACTGACTCCTGCCGCCTCCTCGCTGAGCTCTGGACAGCTGGCAGTGTTCCTCACCCCTCCCCGGAGGCCTGTGTTCCGGGTGGCCTCCAAGGCCAGGATCCTTTCCTTGATCCTGCCTCTGACTTTGAGTTTTATGTTTTTGCTCAGCTCTCACTCCCCGCTTCCCCAGTCAGACTGGTCTCCCCGAGAACAGAGTCTGGCTCTTAGGTTGAGTTGTTTCTTGTCCTCCAGGCACCTGGGGCATTGCTTAACCCTTGAGGCACATACAGATGGCCTCCAGTAGCAGGCCTGACTAATGGGACTGTCTCCTGTGTATTTAGGTGGACTTTCACTGCTGGATGTGCAGGAAGAACTGTAACAGCGAGAAGCAGTGGCAAGGCCACATCTCTTCAGAAAAGCATAAGGAGAAGGTATTCCACACTGAAGACGACCAGTACTGTTGGCAGCACCGCTTTCCCACGGGATATTTTAGTATTTGTGATAGGTATGTAAGCTTTTTAAACTTAACGCATGAAAATTGATCCCACATGACATGGGGGAGTGCAGAGGATTAACAAGCTAACTGAAAGGTTGACAGTTTGCGTCAGTGCAGAGGTGCCTTGGAAATAAGGCCTGGTGATGTACTCGCTAAACAGTGATCCATTGAAATCCTAGGGGCACTCACAGCTCAACTCTGACATGCATGAGGTCACCTTGAAATACAATCAGCTCATACATCTCTCCTCCGAGCTTCAGATGACCTGTTGCCAATTTACATTTATAAAGATAATTCTTGTGTTTAAGACAACATTTTTCTGTTAATTGAGCTGAATTGCTGTTTAACAATGTCTTCATGGAATGGTTTCAATTCAAGATCTAAAGATTAAGTCTGGGTATTAGATTGAGCCACTCCCGCAGCCTCACTCAATCCAGTAAATTTGATTTTCACATAAGTTTGCAATTCTGTTTCACACTCTTCCCCTTTTGATGAAGATCCATATATTGAATATTTGATCAAAATGTTTAGTAAATGTAGCTTGACACCATTCATTTCTTCTCATCTTCTCATAACGGAGTTCATGATTGATGGAGACAGTTAAACCTATAATTTATTTCCTTCTGATGGAAAACCTGGTTTTTGGGTCTTTTTCCTCTTTCCTCTGTAGCTCCAGGTGAATAGAGAGACCAATTTTATCTAGGTGTTACTTACTGAAATACGAGTTAGAGCAAGAACTCTAAAAACAATATTATGCCAGTTAACTGAATAGAGTCACAAAGCCATGACCTTAAACCTTGAAACCAGGAAAACTATCCACTCAGGAGTTCTTTCTAGTACATCAAAAAGGATCATCCTCTTCTCCACAGGCAATCAATATTTTTTATTACATGATTTTAATCAAGGTAAAAGTATTTCTTTTTATATGCCTTAAAGTCCTAATTAAATGTTCTGTGCAAATCAGATTCATTGTCATTGAGTCAGAACAGGGTTTTGGAGGCTGTAAATTGCATGGGAGAAGATTACGCAGCTTCTTCCTGCAGAGCTGCTCACTGGTATATTCGAACTGCCAGAGAGGCACCCAGGCTAGAAAATATCATGAGACCAGAAGATTAGGTGATTCTTGGCTACCACTTATAATAACTGTTCTAATGTGAGTCACAAAAACCAAACAAACATAGTAACACAGATCCTGGTAAAAAGGTGGAAAATGTGGAACAGAATTCCTAAAAAGTTCAGACTTACTGGACCACTTGATACTGGACACTCCCTGAGACTGCTACTATGAGGTAGCACGTAAACCTTGAACAGAAACTACTCACTGTCATCACCTCTGAACTAACAGATGGACTCACAAAATAAAGGATATTGCCAGTGAGTACTGTGCTCATCTCTGTGAGGTCAAATGGTCAGTAGTATCTGTAAAGCAAAGATTAAATATCTAGAAGAAAATCAATGAGATGGTTGACACATCAGGAAAAATGTAACTAACCAGTGTCTATGATTGAATGGTAGTTGTTAAGTGGCAGCCTAATAATGCTGTGTAAATTTTCACTGAAAATACAATAAAAATATGAGGGTTTTTTAAAAAAAAGTTAGGGAAGTATAGATGTTCCAGAATCCTACTACTGCATTGTCCATGCACACCTCACTGGAAGGCACTGACCGCGCTGCTTTGCCCCTCAGGTATATGAATGGGACGTGCACTGAAGGCAGCAGCTGTAAATTCGCGCACGGCAACGCTGAACTTCAGGAGTGGGAGGAGAGGCGAGATGCCCTAAAGATGAAGCTCAGCAAAGCAAGAAAAGATCACTTAATTGCTCCAAATGATAATGACTTTGGAAAATATAGTTTTTTGTTTAAAGATTTAAACTAATATGCTGGCTTTTATGTATGTTACCTAATCAGAGCATTGACCAGAAACATTGAAAATGTTCCAAGGCAGGGAGCAGAGGGGCCGCCGGCTCTCTGCTTGTATTGGCGTACATCGTTCCTCCTGAGCAGCAACCCACAGTAGGTAGGAAAAAGGGCTGTTTAACAGTATCTGGCCACGCCCTCGCGGAACCATTGGCCTCAAGGGCCGAAGTGACCATCTTCTGGTTGCCATCTGTTGAACAGACTTTTGGATGAAGTGTTTTGAGGAAGAGGCTAAGGTTGTGTCAAGGACAACTCCTTGAGTTGGTCCCTCAGACAAGACCCATGGTAAGCGAGTAAACATTTGTACTGGGATCAGAATACGTAAGGGATGAAATTCTTTCCATGTTTTAGCAGCACAAATTTGTTTCATAAAGTTTGCTACTTATCTGTATGTAGGTTGCTAAAAAGGATTTTCTTAACTCAGATCTTAAGCCAAATAACCATTTAACACTAGTATACGTTAAATGGGGTATTTTTCTGTTTTTATATGTTTCACTATAATAAAGGAACTGAAGATATTGTGCATTGAAAATATTTTGAGGAAAAAATCAGTTGACTCAAAAATTTTTTTCTTGGTCTTTTGCTGTTTAAATGATGATTTTGAAAGATTAAAGTTGTAACGTTGGTATCGTGTAGTGTATGGACCAATACTGCCTGTAATAAAGATTTTATATATAAATGTTTCTAAATCTTTTTGGTGCGGTCCTTTCTGCATAAATAATTATTCAAAGTGGGTGCTTAGATCATTCATATAAAGGGAACTCTGGTGGCCTAGTGGCAAGAAGCTGTGCTGCAATTCTGAAGGTTCACAGTTCAAATCCACCAGATGCTCTGCAGTGTGAAAACTTGGTCTCACATATTGTCAGGAAGAGCCAGCCCTTGGAAAAAGCCATGCTGGGATAGAAAGAAGGTAATCCTCAAGGACATGGATCGACACGGTGAGTGTAACAACGAGCTTGACTAAGCGTGGCAGAGATCTGGAGGATGGCACAGGATAAGACATGATTTCAGGCTGTTCGCAGGATCACAACGACTCATCACTGACTCCACGGCACCTAACAGCACATGTTAAAACAGAACTCCCTCCCCAGAGCGATTCCTGCCTCCACCTCCAGTTATTATGGGGTTATTAGGCAAGTTGATGGGTTATCATTCACATTGACAGCAGGCCCCAATCCCTCAGTCCAGACAGCTTTTCAAGCTTGGTTGTAGGCCCTCTGACCTTCCTTCAGCTTCATAGGTCAGTGTTATAAAGTTCCCTCAGTCTTGCCAGTTATGGTGTCTTCCTTCAGTCCTCCAGCAAGCTTGGGTGAAGCCCCAGGCTCTGGCTCCACTGGGCAGCAGTGCCAAGTCAGCTCCGCCTCACATGGTCTCTGGTTCTCTGCTGAGACTGCCGCTGCTCTTGTGTAGATCCCTGTCTGGCAGGCATAGGAATCTCTGGCCGCAAAAGATGCATGATTCTTCCTCTTCGGTGTTGGTATCGAGAGTCCCTCCACAGAGCTCTTTAGCCATTGACAGTCACAGAAGACAGGATTCATGTGGGCTGGCAAAGCCACCTCTGAGACCCTTACAGGTCTTTAGAGGCCTGTGGTGTGTGTGTGTGTGTGTCAGGGTGGGCCACTCCCTTCTGATAACAATGTTAGTGTTGATTGCTTGGTGGGTGGGAACTGAGGTTTGGTTGGGTAATGGTCTTTTTTTCTTTTATTATTTTGTGTGTGTGTACCATCAAATCAGATCTGACTGGTACAGGAGGAGATTGTTCCTCCTTCTCCATCAGAGCATCTGGTGGATTCAAACCAGACACCTCTAGGATTGCCACTAGGCCACCAGAGCTTGCCGCGGTAATGGTCTTTTAAGGATATGGAGCTATTCACATGGGCTGTAATGTCCCTTTAAAACATCAGGAAAAAAATCCAACAAACCAAAGCAAAACAGTCAAAATCACTTACCCGTAGCCACCTTGAATGAATGGTATTTGAGGGAAACAGAAAAGGGCCTTTGTTTTGCAGGAGACCACTAGGGAGAGAAAGTCACAGCCACAGAGAAGGACAGTCAATTAGAGCCAGAGGGTGTTGAGTGGACGCAGAGGGTATAGAGTGGACAGCAGCCGGGGCCAATTTTGCTTGACAGTGCATCTTGCTTGCTAAATCAGGATGACGTTTTCTAGAGAACAGAACGGGAGTTTTAGGATTCTGCTGGGTGGTCTTCAATCTGACAGCCTTCGTGTTATTTTCCTCTCAATTTAAAAAAAAAATCATTTTTTGTTATTAAAGATAGTAGAACGTTACAGAGCTCTGGTGGCCTAGTGGTTAAGAAGCTGCACTAAAATCCTATAGGATCACAATTCAAATCCACCAGCTGCTCTGCAGAAGGATGTGCAGTCTCCTCCTGTGTGATTTACTGTCTCTGATAACACTGAATAGTCAGCTATGGGTTGTTTCCTACCCAAGGGCGCACAACAACAACTACAGTAACACCACCCCAACAATTCCTACATGTACTATTCAGTGCATTGATTACATTCTTCAAGTCTGCAGACATTCTCAACTCTCCTTTTTCCCCAAAATGTTACTCTTCCATTAACATCAATTCACTGCTGCTTATCTCCAGCTGCTTATCTAAACTTTAAAGTTCTGTTATCGAGATTTGATGCTATATGTAGAGTCTTCTGTCAAAAAGCACCCTGCTTAGGTCAAACTCAATCTGTTCTTTTTCCAAAGGATATAATTCTCTCTCACATCCAATCTGAATGTTAAAGATGAAAAAGCTGGTTGCTTAAACCTTTGGAATCTAAGTTAGAACCTTCAAGTCTGAGACCCCGTAGAAGGTGGAGATGAAACTTTCCAAGTGCTCCCTGAATTTTCTAAGCCTCTGTTTCCAGCCTTCTCAGCAATTCTCTGTGCTCTGGACTGTCTTCTCAATGACTTCTATGTCTGCAGGAGCTAAAAGTTTCTTGTTCTGGTTTGTAGCTCAGAGTCTATTGCCACATTTTTTCCCCCTCCGGCATTGGAAAAACCCAAACTCATTGTTGTCAATTCTGATTTCAAGTGACCTGTAAGGTTCTTCAACGAGATGGAAAAGGCAATCTCCAATTTCGTACGGAATGGAAAAAACCCCCGAATAAGCAAAGCACTCCTTAAGAATAGAAGAACGGTAGGAGGTATCTCACTCCCTGATTTCAAATCCTACTACACTGCCGTAGTGGTAAAGA